GTGTGTCACCTCGCTTTCTGAGGTGGCTGCCTCCCTCTCTTCACAGATGCCGCCCCCGCGACCCCCGCCCGCCGGTCTCGGGGCAGCGAGAGCACGGAGGGGCTGGGGGGCCTGTCGCCCGGCGAGCTGACGGCCATCCAGTGCAAGAACATCCCCGATTACCTCAACGACAGGACGGTGCTGGAGAAGCATTTCGGCCAGTTCGTAAAAGTTCGACGGATCATGACCAGGCGCAATAAAAAAATGGCTGTTCTGCACTTTTTTGATCATGTGAGTCTTGGAAGCGGTTGGTTTAAATCTGGGTGCTTGGGATGGGTCCAGCTCTGGTGAGATCTGCACCCCTGTTTGGGAACGCGGTATGTTTTTCACGTGGGGGAAAGCTTTGTATTGTGAGCACTGTATTACAGACAGGGATAGAAGCGTGCTGAGCTGTACCTAAAACGTGGTAGCTGCCAGAGCTCTGCCTCGCTTTAGCTGTCCTGTTAGCATCCAGCTCAAACACCAAACGGATCTTGCCTGTTCGTTGGCTCACGTTGCCCAAACCTGAATTACATACGCTGCTGCATTCTTCCTCAGGCTTGGCAGCACCAAGGGCGAGGTGAGCTCGTGCCATCTTTGCAGGGTGACCTGCTCACTGGAAATACTGCCGTTACGTCAGCACTGAGGTGTGTTGAGGAGCCAATTCAGAGACTGCATGGTCTGTTCCTGTTTTGTGCTTAAAAACACACCTTTGGTATCAAGTGCTCTAAGATTGCTGTGGCTCTCAGAAAAGCAGCAATTTTTGTGGAAACCAGTCCCGCTGGTTGTGTGTAGGTCTTAAGTGAGAGGTTAAAATGCAGTAACCAGAATTTTATGGAAATTGGTAAATGTTTCTGTGGCAAAAACTGCGCTGCGTGTTTTGGCGTTGTGATGTTAATAGGTTTTCATACTCTGCTTTTGTTTTCTTTCAGGCCTCTGCAGCTCTTGCCAGAAAAAAGGCGAAAGAGTTGCACAAAGACATAGTAACATTTTGGCAAAAGAAGAAAACAAGTAAGTTGGTGTTTCCAGATACGATTACTGGGTGATACATAAATGGTGCGGCATCTGCTCTGTTCTTTTTTTCCTGACGTGCTGAGATCAATACAAAGATGATCTCCACAGTAGGAATATTACAGTTCCAGAAGTATGATGGTTCCCTTTGACTTTTGCTAGTCAGACTGTTTGGCGCGCAGAGCTTCTGGGAGCATTGAAGGTTATTCTTTACAGAAGCATAAAAATAGTTGTTCTGCGTTTTATGTGACATCCCAGCTAGCTCTGTTTGTGGCAAAGGCTAATGGTGAATATGCAGAGGAGGGGAAAAAGAACAGGATAAAGCATGTAATTTCTCAGCCTTTAACAGCCTATGGCTCAGGAACCCTGGGAGCCAGAAGGGGTGTCTTAGCCCTTGGAGAATTTTTCTCTTGTGAAGTTACCCAGTTGCTTTTGTAAGCTGTGTAAATTTCCAGCATCTGCAGTACTGTCCTCTGGTATTGAGGAAGTTTTAAGTGAGCAACTGCAAATCGCAGTTGGAAATTGCACTGTTTCTTTCTTAAATTCCTGTTGTCTAAAACATTTTGCTTGATCTAAGCCAAAATGCTGTTTCAGCCATACGAAAGAGCTGAAGACACTTGAAATGACGGTGTAGTTTTACAAGAGAATTTAGAAACAATGCAGCCACGGAAGAGGAATACAGCGATGTTGACTTTGTGCTCCTATCTAGAAGTAGGATGTTCTTTGGGGATGTAAGAAAACCCAGTTTCAAATGCCTCACTGCCTGCTTCAGAGCATGGGCTGGAATGTGGGCTTCCAGCTTTCAGGAAAGTGTCCTGAGAACTGAGTAAAGGAGTACCCTTGGAGTGAGTGTCTGTGTTGCTGAGGTTGCTGTTCTGCGTATCAACAATTACATACTGCTTGAACCAAAAAGAGAGAACAGTGTGTGTGACTGGCCTCCAGAGAACTGAGCTTAGAAATGGGAAGCCCGGATTCCGGAACGCTGCTTGGGATTAGGGCAAGAGATGTGAATGTTGGCTGTTCACCCCCTAGGCGAATACTTGAATTGTCAAGTGCTTCCCTTTCTTTAGCTTTATGAATACTGCGTGTGTACCTCTGAGATCCTAGCCTGGGGATGCGCTTCAGCTGTCAGCAAATGAATGGTTCACCACAGCTTTCACCAACCACAAACTTGCCTTCCAGAAAGTGAACAGCTGCAGAGTTGTCTTCCTGTGAATTAACATCTTGAAGCAGCAGCTATAGGGGCGTGTCCTGGTTTCGGCTGGGATAAAGTTAATTTTCTTCCTAGTAGTTGGTATAGTGCTGTGTTTTGGATTTAGTATGAGAATAATGTTGATAACACACCGATGTTTTAGTTGTTGCTAGGTAGTGCTTCCGCTAGTCAAGGATTTCTCAGCTTCCCATGCTCTACTGACTGAGAAGGCTGGAGGTGCACAAGAAGCTGGGAGGGGGCACAGCCAGGAGAGCTGACCCAAACTGGCCAAAGGGATATTCCATACCACGTGACGTCATGCTCAGTACATAAACTGGGGGAAAGCTGGCCGGGGGGGCCGCTGCTCGGGGACTGGCTGGGCATTGGTCGGCAGGGGGTGAGCAATTGCATTGTGCATCACTTGCTTTGTGTATTCTATTATTATTATTTTATTTCAGTTACTAAACTGTTCTTATCTCAGCCCACGAGTTTCCTCACTTTTACTCTTCTGAATCTCTCCCCCATCCCACGAAGGAGGGGGGGAGTGAGCAAGCAGCTGTGTGGTGCTCAGTTGCTGGCTGAGGTTAAACCACAACAGGGTGCCTGTTTGCCTTTGTCATTTTATTGTGGTGTTAATGTGAATGGCAGTATTCTAAAATAACTAATCTGAGAGAATTTAAGAAATCCAACTGGTTGAAAATTTGTTCCTGGGAGAAGAAATTCTCCCTTCCTGCAAGGTGTAGATGTAACTCTTGAGAAGGCATGCCAACCTCAGTCTAAGCTTGGGTATGTGAAATAAATAATTA